TATCCCTGGGTTGCACTCTTTCCACAGTCTCATCTTCTGTTGCAGCTTCCTCCTCATCTCCAATACCCTCAGCTCTATAATCTGTTTACTTTTCCCACAAATTGATGTCCAGGTAAAGCATTGCCTGATTGAGAAGGAATGCAAATAAGTGTGTGTGTGGTATGAATCCGAGTCCATACAAATCATTCGGCCTAAATTAATCTGTTCATGAATGGTTACACATCTGTTATTTGTGTCTCAGAACCTTACACAGGTAGTCTTGCGTGCTAACAGAATGTGGCAGTGTTAATGTTGATTGTTTTTACGTAATAGGCCGAAGTGGTGTTGGAGCTGTAACCCCCCAGGAAGAAGAAGAGTTCAGGCAACTTGCCTCCAGACCTGACATCTATGAGACCGTGGCCAAAAGCATCGCTCCTTCTATTTATGGCAGCATTGACATTAAAAAGGCTATTGCATGTCTACTCTTTGGAGGCTCCCGTAAAAGGTAGGCATCTGGAATACTTTCAGTACTACACGTGAAAATTCATAGGTGACAATCCAATTGTATTGGTCAGACAAAGGCAAACATTAAAGTAGAACTGAGGTGAGTGATTTCCACTCATCCTCATAGTTGGAGCCGACCTGTGACAAGCTGTCACAGGTCGACTCTATTGATCGGGAAGTGAATAAACGCATACTGTCGCTCGGGTCACTTTCCAATCATCTCCCTGCAGAGAGCGGTGACTTAGTCACTGCTCCCCGCAGGGATTTCTCTTTCCAATCTGACAGCATTGGAGGCGCGAGGGGGCTGGCTCTGCCACTAGATAGGCAATGCCAGCTGTCACTCATGCCCCTCGGTGGATCACGACAGTATTTGCAGGATCCGTCCCTGCCTGCGGCGCTCAGTATGGCACGCTATATACTGAGCTTTGGGTCACTGGAGGAAGTATTTGTCCTCCCGTGGCCCTAAAGAGAGCTATGGAGAAAAACACTTGCACCCATAGCTCTCTTTTTAAAATTGGTGGTGGTGCATTCATGGCACAGATGTTTTGAAGACTATTGACCTAAATTTAATTTACTGTAAAGTTAGTTTCTCTGAGCATTCTTTGGGCAACATGGTGGCTTTAGGCACCATACTAAACAAGAGGGGCAAACCTTGCTTCTCCTTATTGGCTACACCCACTGTGCTTGGGAATTGTGAACTCAGTTGCTGGGTTTTGATAGTGCTGTGCTAGAATATACTTTCATTGGAATGTCCCTTGGATATCCATTTTGGCTATTATCCGGCATGTTTGTACTTACAATAATAGTATATTGAAACTTTTCAGGCTTCCTGATGGACTGACTCGTAGAGGAGATATTAACCTGCTGATGCTGGGTGACCCTGGAACTGCCAAGTCTCAGCTTCTGAAATTTGTGGAAAGATGCTCTCCTATAGGGGTAAGTAACATTTTAAGTAACATCTTATCCTTGTTGGGGGACTTGTGTATTTGTAAACCATTTCCTGTATATATTGTACAATATTTGCAGCCAAATATGTAACCCATCTCTTTTATAAATAGGTTTACACCTCTGGAAAGGGTAGCAGTGCTGCTGGCTTGACTGCTTCTGTGATGCGGGATCCAGTGTCTCGTAACTTCATTATGGAGGGTGGTGCCATGGTGCTAGCTGATGGAGGAGTGGTGTGCATTGATGAGTTTGATAAGGTAAGAATAAACATCATTTACCTAGTGACCTTCACAAGTAGCTACATTGTGTGTGTGTGTGTGTGTGTGTGGTGTGTGTGTGGTGTGTGTGGTGTGTGGTGTGTGGTGTGTGGTGTGTGGTGTGTGTGTGGTGTGGGTGGT